ATCTTCGCTGCCAAAACTCACTTTTGCCTGGGCTCCGTTGGCGCCTGGGCGAGCTGATGCAGCTGTGCCTTGGTAGGCGGGCGCTCCTCCTTGGTGCTGTCGGGCTCCGCATCCTCTGTCTTCCGCTCGATGACGGTCACCTGGGAGCCCTCGCTTTGACTAGACTTGAGCGGCGTGCTGGACTTCTTGCGCGCGCCCTGCGATATCTCGCGCTCCACGTTGGAGTCACTGGACGCTTGCTCCGGCGAGGCGGACTTGCTGCTGGTCGTCGTGTTGGCCGAGGATGTCATCAGCGGCGCGGGCGAGGCATCGCGTGACCAGCTAATGCTGACACGCTTCTCCTCGCGCACAATCAACTCGTCGTCGCCCATCTGGGTGAAGTCCAGATCCTTAGACGTGGCGGTCGACTTACTGGACGGCTGTTTGATAAAGCTCTGAGACTCCGGCGACGCGTCCAGCGCAGCGCTCGGCGGCTTCTCCTGCAGCGAGCTGTTGAAGGAAAAGAAATGGAGTTAATGAAAATATTGACAGCTTTGAGCCAAGGACAACGCACGTTAGGAGCAGCACGGAGCAGCCGCTGACCACCAGCGGGTAGCAGGTGAAGCTGCTCAGGCCGGAAAACATTGAGAACACCATGGGTAGAACGAAAAGCCAAACAATAAACAAAAAAGTCGATAAACGAGGCGAAGCTGCAAACGCGCCAAAGCAAAAACGAAAACTGCGCCTGAAGGTCAATGCGACTGGATTGCCACATATCGGCGATTCGGACTCCGAATCGGAGTCGCCGCCTGCAGTGCGCATGACACGCAACTGCGCGTGCTTGGTTCGTGTCTTGGCTAAAAGCTTGCAGTGCAAGCTTTTGTGTGATACAGTGGATCAAATGCGTAGTTAAACTACTCAAGTGGAACGAAGCTATTTAAAAGCTAATTATTTGTTAATTTGTTAGTATATTTTGTTAAGCGAAATTTACGTAGACTAAATAGATGTTTTTTTTTAAGAGCGAGTGTATTCATTGAAATTTCCGGCACAATGGAACGCGCACGTTATATAACGATTGTTGCTGATAAACAATTGGTAACAAATGAGAGCGTTGCAGTTGGGCGTTACTGACTACGCTATACTGATTCATGGTCAAAAAGCCACCTGCTTCATTTAACAATATGCCACGCCCTCAATAGGCAAGTCTATACAATTTGATTTGCAGACGAAATGACGGAAGGAGAGGCACAGAGGGATGGTAAGATGAAGAGAGGAATCGACGAACTCTTCCCTTTCCCCTACCCATAACCCTTACCCCATCCCACTTACTCACCTGAGAAGCGTTTTACGTTCCGCCTTTGGACTCTTGGGAGGCGCTGCTGCTCCTGCGGCCGTTGGCAGCGTGTAAGTATTCTGCCGCTGGAACTGCTTGCGCACCGGACTGGGACTAGTGAGATGTTTGGGGCGCGGTATGCGTGAGTCCGCCGAGGAGGAGCGGCGCACCGTGGAGGTGGCTGAGGGAGTAGCTGCGGGCGCTGCTGCTGCAGCTGTTGGGGAGACGGGAGCCAAGTCGCTGGTCTCCGCTTTCGAGAAGTCCTTGGCCAGCACCTGGATGGCCTCCTTGCAGGAATCACAGTAGTTGGCCGCACAGGCGATCGAGATGTGCGGCTTGACGATGTCGCCACAGCCGACGTCCCGCTTGCGCACCTGCTCCGTGTTGCAGGCGGAGTGAACCGTGAGGCGCTCCGGCTTGGGCAATGGCTGCGGCTCGGTGTTGCTGCCCGTGTGGCAGGTCGCGGGTCGCACGAGTGGCGCCATCAGCTGCTCGGCCTTGACGCTGCTGCGTGTGAGTCGCTGCAGGCCGTTGGTGTCCGTCTGCCGGCTGGTCGCCTCCACGGGCGCGCATTGGGTGGACATCTGCTGCTGCTCCGGCATGACCTGAGCTCCGGTCGAGCGCACGGTGGCTGCTGTGGTCTGGCTCGATGCCGAGTGGACTGGAGTGGGTAGCGTCTGACAGCCGATGGCCTTGCGCTTGATCGCCAGCTGCTCGTGCTCGCCCAGACTGAAGGTGTTGCTGCGTCCCGGCAGCAGCTGGGCCGCTGGCCTCGGCTTCTCCAGCGGCTCCTCGGTGCCGCAGCTGACGCTGACGCTGCGCTTGCTGATGGCACACTTCTCGCAGAGCACGTCCGTGATGCGATGCTCCGAGCTGCCCACGCTGCGCACCTCCGGCTGGCAGCTGGTGAAGCTCTCCCTCGTCGCGGGCTTGGCGCTGATGCTCACATTGTGCTTGAGCACCGGCCGCTCCGGCACCGTCTGCATGCCCTTCTCCCGCTGCTCGCGCTGCGGCACATACATCTGGGTGCCCACCGAGATGAGCTGCCTGAGCCGCTGTTGCCTCCGCTCGCCGATCGCCTGCTCGATCCGCTGCTTCAGCTCCGCCTGTGAGTAGATCGCCTCCGCCTGCTGCGTGCCCACATGCCGCACGCTCAGCTGGGCGCCCACGGCCGCATCCCGCGTGGCTACCGCCTTGCCCGCTGCCTGCGTGGCCACATCGCGTCGTATGATGCTCGGCGAGCTGGAGCTGCTGCGCATGCGCGCGCCCAAGCTCTCCAGCGAAACGGGACTGATGCGCTGCGGCGTAAACTGCACGGGTGAGCCGTTCTTGACGCCCGGACTGGGCGGCGACGGCGTCTGGCGCTGGCTGCGCAGCAGCTCCTCGTTGCGGCGCTGCAGCCGCTGCTTCTCAGAGCGCAGTGAATTCAGCTCCAGCTGCAAGAGGAGACGGAAATTATTATTATTATGTATGTATATAATATTATATATGTATATGTATATCGGTGGCAGATCTGCATGATTACATTTATATTATATTATTCTTAAAAGAAATATATTCTATTATAAATTTTACTATATATAAGAAATCGTGTACAATATTTCTACTGACATTTAAAATATTTTTTTTTAATTTTTTATATTTTAATGAATATGTTTTTGATATATTAAATATATGTATGTATATGGATGTATATTTTACATATTATTATGTTTGATATACAATATACGAAGAGCGTAATTAATAATAATATTAATATTATATTGATATTAATAATAACATTAATATTTAATATTTTATACTTATTATTTTATACACTTAAATTTGTATATTTATTTCCATTATGTTTAATATATACATATTTATTTTAATTTAGTGCATAGCAAACTTGTTTTATTTTATTATTATTATTGTTCTTATTATTATTATTATTATTATTATTATTATTATTATTATTATTATTATTAT